AGAATATTAAAATGACCATGAACTTCCAAAAGAACAAACACATTTCTCCTGTGGCTAGATTGCTCCTTAGCTGTAAGTGTGGTGAGGCTTTGTCTCATGTACTTTGGACATGCTATTAGGAGGGGTCAGTCCCTGGACAAGGACATCATGCTTGCTAAAGCAGAGGGTCATCGGAAACAGGCAGACCCTCAATGAGATGAACTGACACAGGGGCTGCAACAATGGTTTGGACCCTAAGAACAATCATGAGGATGGGGCGGGACTGGGCCGTGTTTCATGCTGTTGGACACAGGGTTCACTGTGAGGCAGAACCACCCGAGGACACCTCACAGCAGCAAGAACATACCCAGAAGGAGAACTGCCGCTGGGCTGTATGAAAAGCCAACCCTTAGAAAAACACGTGGGTCTTTTCTAAAACACTCACGGGATGACATACTATGTCTCTGTTAAAATAGATGAATGAGGAGGACCTCTATATACTCAAGATACGTTGTTAAATTTTAAACGAAACCAAGGTGGAGAAAAGCTTGTATAGTATGCTATCACCTCCTAAGAAGAGTGCACACACACATACACCTATATATACATGTACACAGACACACACACATACATGTATACACATACACCTATATAATACATATGCAAAGGGACTTCAATAAGTTGAAGGAAGCATTTCATTATCTTTTCATCCTGTCTTCCACGAACTTTTTGAAGCCTCTCACATGCAGATATATATATTTAAATGTATACGCTTATGTTAAAAATGAGACAACAGACCAGAAACGAGGAAGAGAGAGGAAGCCTTTGGAAGAGAGAGGAAAAGTGGATGGGCAGACCAGGGACAGGGGTCGATTTCTGAGAATCTTTACTTTTGCGGATTTGGCTCAGAACCACAGTGGGTCTGAACTGACCACTGTGCAGTTGGCAGCTCAATGCTTGACCTACAGTGCCTGCCAGGCTCCTTATATGAAAGGAGAACATAAATATAAAATCAAAGTAAAAACGGCTTATCAGTAGTCCTAAATTGAATTTAAAAAGAGGATGCACTCTTGATGCATGTTAACTCTAAAGTCTATTTCCTGGTTGTCCGTCAGAAAGACCGAGAGACTAGAATTCACTTGTAGCAAGGGGCACTCTGGGGCCTGAATGTGGCCCCAGCGCCCTTTCCACCGAAAGGAGCCAGAGCTGCTTGGAGAAAACGCCAACTCCAGGTCGGGTGAGAACAGCTACCGGGGAAGTCTGAATGACCACCTGGCCACAAAGAAAGCCGGGAGACTGGACTTCAAGGGTTTTGTTAAAATGATTCCAGAGCCAGCTGAAGAAGTTCCTGCTGGCCCCAAATGGTGCCATTTCTGCACCTACCAGTATTGGAGGAATCATGGCGTGCAAGTCGATGCATGTACATGCCTCAAACATCACTGGTCACGTTCAGAGTGTGCTATAGAACCACCCTGCTGTTTTCATGAGAGAGAAAGGACTGAGCGGCTCTTCTGCCCTTTAAAGGAACTGTCTTCCTGTCCCTTCGGGGTCACGTCATCGACGAGGCAGTCTCTCTCGCCAAAGGATTTCAGTTAGTCAAGCAAGAGTACATGACAACATTCGACTGTGGTCTCTTTGCAACCTCTAAATGGAGACGAAAACTGAAGCTGTTAGCGATTTCATTCTACTTGATCCACAATCAATGTCCTGGAAGCAGCGTCAGGAAGCCCAGCGATGCACCACACTGGGAAATGTGCTGCCAAAGACCTCTTTCAAGTGTTAAACAGCAAAGATGGCACTCTGATGACTAAGAGGTGCCTGGCTCAAGCTGCAGCAGGTTCAGACGCATGTGAACGCTGGACCATGGCAAAGGGAGACGGAAGAATAATTGGTGCATTTGTGGTGTTGGCAAAGAATGCCAACTATACCATGGACTAGCGGGAAAATGGGCAAATCGTTCTAAGAGATACAACCAGAAGGCTTCAGAGAAGTGAAGATGATGAGGTTTGGCCAGGAGAGAGCAGCCTCTAGGGCAGTGGTTCTCAACCTTCCTAATAATGCGACCCTTTCATACAGTTCCTCATGTGGTGGTGACCCCCAACCATAAAATTATTTTCATTGATACTTCATAACTGTAATTTTACTACTGTTATGAATCAGGCGACTCCTGTGAAAGGGTCATTTGACCCCCCCAAAGGGGTCTTGACCCACAGGTTGAGAACTACTGCATGAGAACAATGCATTCATTGTGAGGCAAACCCTCCATGAGATGGACTGAGGCAACAGGCACCGTAATGGACTTAGATCGTCAGGAAGATGGAGCAGGGCAGGGCAACGTTTTCTTCTGTTGTAAATAAGGTCGTCCTGAGTCAGTCAACTTGATGGCAACCGACAGTGACCATGAAGAATTCCGAGTCTCAGGGATGACCATCCTGGGCAGCTGCCGCCACACAGAGACAACCAGACGCTGAGTCCCCAGCAGCACGGAGCCTGTACGTGACCAAGTCTCCAAATCCACCCAGCATTTTCCAGGAAGGGACATTTACAGGAAATGCATCTTATATTGGGACAATCTGCTGCAGGAGGCCTCTTTAAAGCATGGAAGAACAAGGATGTCACTTTGAGGACTAAGGTGGTCTGACCCAAACCTTGGTGTTCTGCGTTGCCTCATGTGCATGTGACAGTCGGACAGCGGACGGAAGACTGGAGAAGAATGGATGCATCCGAAGGATGGTGCTCTGGAAGAATCCCGAAAGTACAGTGGACTTCCAGAGCATACATAAACCTGGTCTTAGCCGACCTACAGTCCGCAGGCTCCTTAGAAGGGAGGATGGAGAGACTGGTACCTTGGCCATGTTTTCAGGAGAAACCAGTCCCTGGCAGAAGGCATCAGGCCTGGCACAGGAGATGGTCAGTTCAAGAGAAGTGCCTCAGTGAGGCAGACTGACACCGCGGCTGCAGCACCGGGCTCCTGTCCTGAGCTGGGGCAGGACTGGGTGGTGTTTCCTTCTGTTGCTCTGAATTGAATTCGCCGGACTCCCCCACACCTAACCGCAAACACACCTTGGAGCCGGCGAGATGATGTTAAATGGGAGCAGCAAACTGAAAACACGGAAACCTCTGTATACAGGACAAGCGGCGTGGGGCTTCCAACCAACATCACACAAGGAAACAAAGAAATGGGCAGGAAGCCATCTATTGGTTGAGAGACAAGCAACAGATCAACCAGCCCCAATTGTTTGGAGTCTGCTTCCAAAAACTTGGGGGGCCATGGAGACGCTTGGAGTTGGTAGCTGGGCACTGTGACAGCACTGTGATCATGGATGGGATTCTATCAGGCTTCCTGATACTGTCCAATCGATTAAAAGAACTACTTGTTTAGTCCTCCTTTGGATATCAACATTTCAAGCTCACTTTACATTGCTTAAACATTCTACGAAATTAAGGAGCTCATAATTTCATGAATAAAATGCCAATCTATCACAAATCAGCGGTCAAAACACAGGCTGTTTTCTTTCCTTTCCAGTCCTAGTGAAGGGTGATTGAGGAGCAAACAGTTCACAAATCAAAAGGTGCAATTCTCAGCAGACACAGGCCTCTCTCACCAGCCCGGGACCCTCCCTTTGAGGGAGGTGAGGCTGAGAGCCTAAGAGGCTGGTCTGTGAGGAGGAACTGTGGGTCCTACTTGTGGTTTTCAAAGCCATATTAATGATGACTGGATGCGACGGATTGAATTGTTTCCCTCTCTAAATGATGCAAAGAAACAAGACATGATCAACTGTGAAATGCATGTTCAAGTCCTAAACCTACCACTGTCACTCAGTTGATTCAGACTCATAGCGACTCTTTGGGGGGGTTTCCAAGGCTGGTAATCTTCATAAGACCAGATACCTCCTCTCTCTCCTACGAAGCAGCTGGTGGGTTAGAACCACTGACCTTCCAGTTAGCAGCCCTGTGGGTGACCCACAGTACCACGAGGGCTCCTCAAACCCCAAACCCAAACCCACTGCCATTGAGCTGATTCTGACTCACAGCAGCCCTACAGGACGGAGCAGAACTGGCCCCGTGGGTTTCTGCGACTGTCAGTCTTTATGGGAGCAAAGAACCTCATCTTACTTTTGTGGAGGGGCTGGTTGTTTCGAACTGCTGACCTGGTCCTTCACAGGCCAACTCATAGCCCATGACGCCAGGGCTCCTGGACTGGCCATGAGGTTGACAAGAGGTCACATCAGAAGAGGGAAGGTCCGTACCCCTTCTGAGTAGCAGCTCATCCAGGGGAGAACAGACCCGGAGACAGTCACACAGGAGGAACAAGGCTACGTAAAGGTCATCGGCAGGGCCGGCATGCCAGAGACGCCAGGGGCCCCCAGGAGCTAGAAGAGACCAGGAAGGGTCGTCCCCTAGAGCAGGTGGTGCTCAGGCGGCCCAGCTGACAGCCTGGGTTCCAAATCCTGGCCTCCAGAACTGGGAGACAAAACATTTTGGCTCTTCAACCAAAACTCACCGCCACTGAGCCCATTCTGACTCAGGGTGACCCTATACGACAGAGGAAAACTGCTGCGGCAGTGGGCTTCTAAGACTACATCTCCACAGGAGCGGACAGCCTCCTCTTTCTCAAATGGCACAGGGCGTCGTGGCTGCCTTCCAACTGTGAGCTGGACATGAGTGGCCTGAACACACAACCCACTGGGCCACCATGACCAGGGCCCCCTTTCGGTTCTTTAAAGCCGCTGGCTCTGTGGAATTTTGTTACCGCCGTTCAAAAAGCCTAAGACACCGGTCATTGGGGATCATGCCTGTTACTCTCAAGAGTTTAATGTGACTGGCCGGAAAAATGAGAAATACAAATGAGATCAGATGCAAACCCAAACATGGTGCCACACGTGCACAGAACCTGTGAGAGAATGAGAGCGCTACAAGGCCCACCCCCCGACAAGGTCGGCCTGCCTCTGGAGTTCGTTCTTTTCACACTAAGTAAAGAAGGGCCAATTGAAGGACGAAACCTGCAGGGACCAACATACCTGTGTGTCATATGCTGTCGGGAAGTCTCGCCCCACTTGGTCAGGAGCAGGAAGGAGACGAAAGACGGACCCCAACTGTGCTGGACTCGCCCTCTTTCAAACGAAGCACTGGGGCCCTTACCTGGGGAAGAGGCGGAACACTTGGTCAAAACTCACCTGGAAGTTCCCACTACTTTTCAGTACAGGATTCCAACGAGCATGTTTCTCTGTACAATGATCCACTATGAAACTTAAGACGAAACCTTTTCACCAAGCTGCCGTCACAAAGATTCAAACTTGCCCTCTGGCTGGGAACAAGTTTGTGGTGAGATGGGCAAACACACCAAGAAGGTCGGGATCGTGGGCCAACAGGGGTCCATTACGGTGACTCCCTCAGGAAAAAGTGAAGAAAATTGAAATCAACCAACATGCCAAGTACACTTGCTCGTTCTGTGGCAGAGCTAAAGTGAAGAGGCGCGCTGTGGGCTTCTGGCACTGTGGTTCCTGCATGAGACGGGAGCTGGTGGCGCCTGGAGCCACAAAGCCACCTTATGCTGTCACAGTACAGGCTGCCATCCCAAGACTGGGGGAACTGAAAGACCAGGGGAAGCTCCTCCACTATTTGAAACATCTCTGGCCTGTAATAAATGGGTTGATTTAGGTAAAAGAAAAAAGCTTCACACTTACTGTCGTCAAGTTGATTCTGACTTACAGCATCCCACAGGACAGAGTAAAACTGCCTGTTAAGGTTTCTAAGACTGAAAACATTTACGGGAGGAGAAAGCCTCCTCTTTCTCCCACAGAGCAGCTGGTGGCTTCAAACTACTGACCTGACGGTTAGCAGATCAGCAGCCCAACACACAACTCATCACACTGCTGGGGCTTTAATATGCAGCTGTGATTTGGGATAGCCACATGGTTTCAGGTGGTTGTGAATGACAAAGTCTGCCCATCTTCAGATTATTTTCTCTTTTAAATCGCTTTGGGCATAAAATGCGGTATGCACATAGAAAAGCAGAGGAGACACGTGGATCGTTTTTGAAAGAGTTACTCCACAAACACTAGCACAGCAGCCCTCAGGAATGGGGTACTGCCAGAGCCTCAGAGGCTGGGGCTCCTCCCTTACCTAGAATCCCTTTCCCTCTGTAGGTAATGAGGACCTTTGTGCTGATGGAGCCCTAATGGTTAAGATGCTTGGCTTTTAACTGAAAGGCTGGTGGTGGGGACGCACTCGGCAGCCCCACGAGAAAAAGACCTGCTGGTGTGCCCCCATAAAGACCACAGCCCAGAAGACCCAGTGGGCAGTGCCACTCTGTCTCACAGGGGGACCAGGAGTGACAATCAACAATCTAACATGCAGCACCTCTTCTATGGCTGTGCCCTCCTTGCTTTTCTTGAGCACTTCAAAGGACCACAGCAATCAGGAGGCTCATTGCAAAGTTGTCAGAAGACTGCAAACTGCATCGGGAAGAAAAAAAGACCAGAAAGTTGTGCCCAGACATTTCTCTTTTCCATCTTGAGACGACATCTGCTCCTTCTTTGCGTGAGGGCGGCGAGGGCTCTGCAGGAGTGTTTCAGTGGGCAACCACACCCCACCCACCCTACAGCCCTGATCTTGCCCCTTCAGATTTCTTTTGACCCAAAACTCAAAAGACACGTGAAAGGGACGTGATTTGAATCCCCGGAAGAGGCTGTTTTAAAACAGCCCTTTGAACATGGTGTCCACGAAGAGTGCAGGATGCTCGTGAAGGAGTGGAGGGATGGAGACCCGGCCTTCCGAAGTGCAAACCTATGTGGAGCTCAGCCAAGAAGCCAAAGCTTCACACAGTGGTCTTTGTGTTGAAGAAAGGTTTTTGTGATTTTGCAGTGATACCTGTCGATCCTCCCTCCTATACCATCACTTGGTTTTCTGCTTCAGGGCCAGAAATCACAAACACCTCTGCGACAGTCTTTCTGGCACAAAGAACTCGCACCTACAGGCCATGCGGCTCTGGAGCACACTCGAGAAGTGTGACTGCTAGGCTATTGGTGGTATACACAGCCAATGTTACCACATTAAGTGAAAGCATTTTCTAAGGCAGTTGCAAAGACTGACACTCTCTCTCACCAGAAGCGCATGAGCTTCCTGCTGCTCCACACTGTCAAGATTTGTCAGGCGTTTCAATCTTGCTAACTTGCTGTGCAGTAATGGCCTAAGAATTCTTTCTTTCAGGAACCGATTATAAAGAACTATATGGGACCTCCTCCCTGGGGGACGGACGACAGAAAAGTGGGTGAAGGGAGATGTCAGACAGGGCAAGATATGACAAAATAATAATTGATAAATTATCAAGGGCTCATGAGGGAGGGGGGAGCGGGGAGGGAGGGGGAAAAATGAGGAGCTGATGCCAGGGACTTAAACAGTGGAGAGGAAATGTTTTGAGAATGATGAGGGCAATGAATGTACAAATGTGCTTAACACAATTGATGTGTGTATGGATTGTGATAAGAATTGTATGAGCCCCTAATAAAACGATTGAAAAAAAAAAAAGAATTCTTTCTTTCATTGAATAAAAAAAAAAAAGAAACCAAAAATCACTCCAACTCACTGCCATCGAGCCCATTCTGATTCAGCGTTCCTATCAAGTAGAGCCACGGGTTCCAGCCTGTCCCTCTTTACATCCTTCTCCTGCAGACCTGCTGGGCTCTCAAACTGCTAACTTTGCGGTTGGCAGCCCTACCAGAAACCCACCAAGGCTCCTTTTTCCCTACAGGATCTTAGAATCCTCTGGAACAAAAAACCCATGGAAGCTCACAGCTGACCAGGGTGGCCAGGGAGCTCTGACTCGCCATGTGTCATCTCCCACCTTTCCCATGGCTCCGACATCTTGATACTCCTCGAGGGATTCTTCCCTTGCTTACTGCTCCTCCCTAGGCTCCCGAGACCCTGAGTGCAAACCCTGGGTGCAGGAGGAAAAGGAAGCCAACAGGAACATCCTATGTCCCTGGCTAGCGATGGACTAATCTCTACAGAAATCTACCAAGTCAGAACTGACAACACCTTTTCTAAAAGAGAGTCTCGCTGTTTCCCATAAGAATGTGGACAAGACGACCCTCGCTGACCCATATCGCTATGAGGGACAACATTGGAGACACAGTGGGAATTGTGCCTGATCTGACCCCACCACACGGGGGCAAAACACTAAGGGCAGGCAAAAGCAGCAAGGGGAGCAAAGCAATGAAGTCCTCAGGGAATACCAAAAATAGACTTTGGGGTCAGGGCATGGCACCCCATCAGACTGAACTGGAAAACACTCCTAAAGGTCAACACAGACCTGAAACTACTTATAGGCTTTTTTTTTTTTTTGGCCCATTTTTTGTTGTTGTTGGTTTTTGCTCTGCCTTGTTTTTGTGCTTATTACTGTTTCTGCATGTCTATCTAGATAAGACAGGCAGTATAAAGAATCTGGAGGAGAAAACACAGGGACCGATGATTCCAGGGGTACATGGCAGAGGGGGAAGCAGGGAGAGGAAGTGAGTGTTAACAAAACCAGGGACAAGGGGACAACAAGTGATCTAAATTTGATGGCAAGGAGGGCATAGGATGCCTGGTAGGGCTTGATCAAGGGCAATGTAACCAAGAGGAATTACTGAGACCCGAATGAAGGCCAAACATGATAGTGGGACAAGGGGAAAGTAAGAGGAAATAGAGGAGAGAACTAGGAGGCAAAGGACATTTATACAGGTCTAAATACAGGCATATAAATATGTAAATATACTTATATATAATGATTGGGAAATAGATCTGTGTACCTATATTTATATGTTAAGTATCAAGATAGCAGATGGGCACTGAGCCTCTACTCAAGTACTCCCTCAATACCAGAATGCTTCGTTCTAATAACAAGGCATTCTGGGATGCTCACTTTCCCGACATGATTGCTTAAGACAAAATGGGTGCATAGCAGTTGTGGTGAAGAAAGCTGATGGTCCCTAGCTATCAAAAGATATAGATAGCATCTGGGGGTCTTAAAGGCTTGAAGATAAACAAGAGGCCATCTAACTGAGAAACAACAAAGTCCACATGGAAGAAGCACACCAGTCTGTGTGATCATGAGGTATGGATGGGATCAGATATCAGGTATCTAAGATCCAGAACAAAATCATACCCATGTGAAGGGGAGTGCCCAGTGAAAACCCAAAGCCCATCTGTAGACAATTGGACATCCCCTTACAGAAGGGTCACAAGTAAGAGACAAGCCAGTCAGGGTACAGCATAGCATTGATGAAACATACAACTTTCTTCTAGTTCTTAAATGCTTCCTAGCCCCCACTATTATGACCCCAATTCTACCTTACAAATCTGGTTAGACCAGAGCTTGTACACGGGCACAGATAAGAGCTGAAAACACAGGGAGGGAATCCAGGACAGATAAACCCTTCAGGACTAACACTGAGACTAGCCATATCAGGAGGGTAAAGGGAAGGTGGGAGGAGAAAAGGGGAACCGATTACAATGATCTACAAATAACCCCCTCCCAGGGGGACAGACAACAGAAAAGTGGGTGAAGGAGACATTAGGCAGTGTAAGACATGAAAAAATACTAATAATTTATAAATTATCAAGGGTTCGTGGGGGAGGGAGGGAAAAAGATGAGCTGATACCAAGGGCTCAAGTAGAAAGAGGGTGTTTTGAAAACGAAGATGGTAACAAATGTTATGAATGTGCTTGACACAATGGATGGATGGATGGTGATAAGAGCTGTATGAGCCCCCAATAAAACGATAAAAAAAAAAAAAAGAACTTGATGTGCGCCTGGAGCCAACGCAGCCACTCAGCAACTATGGGTGAAGACGCTGGCGGAGAGCAGAGCACACACAGAGGAGGGGATACTGGGAAAGAAAGGGACCATAGGGCAGCATCTATAGCCGGCCTGAACTTAGGTTCATGCAGTCCTTCAATCTCATTTGGACCTACAACAGATATGGTCGAGTTTTCTACACTACATCATCAGGAGCCATTGCTGATACAATCACAAATTCAAAATCAAGGTTTTCAATGGACTCAGGTAGCAGCATATGTCCATATATGCACATGGACATATGCACGTTCAAATTTTGAAAGTCTGAGTTATTTATCACCACATCCTGGGCTAAAGTTCT